GTGCGTGCCGAGGCGTCGGCGGCGGACCTGATGCATGTGCATGAGTATTTATGTGCGTGAGTTGCAGAGTAGCCGAGGCGTCGGCAGCGGGCTTGATGTATGTGCAGTGCGGAGTAGCCGGGGCGTCGGACGCATTGCAGTTGCAGAGTAGCCGAGGGGTCGGCGGCGGACCTGATGTGTGTGCATGAGTTGTAGGGTGGCCGGAACCAGGTGTTTTGTGTGTATCGCGTCGCAGGTTGGGGTGCCGCGTTGCACGACCCTTCAAAGCGTGCCTACCAGGCTCCCCGGTTTCCTTTACGATTGTGTGTGCGCTTAGTATGCCTCTGAATAGATGCGCGTCAGTCGCCTGGGAACCATCCTCATGGTGGCGCCGCGTCAGTCGCCGGGCAACCATCCTCGTGGTGTCGCCGCCAAGGAACCGCACTCCGCTGTACGTACCCCCGAGCCGTGCTCGATACGCCTCACCTGCCGTGCCGGCGTTAGTGTGCCTGACCATAGAATCCTTGTAGCCGTTGGTACTCCCCACAGCTTCCCTGGCTCCCTTCTCGCTCGCTCTCCGCTCCACTCGCCGGCGGCCATGTCGGCGTTAAGGAGTGCGTGATCGGATAATCCTCGTAGCCGTTGGCACTCCACACGGATTCCTTAGCTCACTTCTCGCCCACTCTCTGCTCCACTCGCCGTCCGTCGCAGTCGACGACTGCCGTTCGCGCCTCTCGGCTCTGCTGCCAGCGGCGCGCCCGTTCCTACACTCCCCTTCGCACCACCCCTAGTCAGGGTCTGCTCCGCGTCTGTCGGCGGGGTGATTTATCTGTCTCCGACCCCCGTCTCCCTTTGCTCCGGTCACGTTCAGTGGCGCCCGGGCAGGGTCCTAACCTTCCATAGCCGCGTCGCCGCTATGAGTTGACTGCTGCCGCAGCCCTCACGCTGCCGCGTGCTACGTTTCGCAGTTACGAGGCGTAACACCGCAGTTCGCACTAAGTGCGTCTGCAAGTCTGCGGTCGTTGGGTTATGCTTGGGCAGGAATTCATTTAAAGGGGATTTCCGCGTTGCTTTGTTAACGCACCGGTGGTGGAATGAGGTGCAGAATCATACCCCTTGGATGACAATGATCACGACTAGTGCAAGGTCATTCCGAGTTTTCCTGAGTCTGCGGTATTTCCCCGTGGATGAATCAATGCTACAATTTGTAAACGGCGCTGCGCCGGCAAGTAAAAATGGTCAAGTTCACAGTTCCTTGCACGAGATCACGGAATTAGTCATGGATAGGTTATCTCTCTGCACAGTCTCTATACAGACCTTTGAACTGTGACGCAGGACGACCTGCACCGAGTGACCTGTGAATCTTCCCGTCGGATGTGCGCGGCGGTGACCGGTCTAACCGGTCGACCGATGTTTGCCCACTGCCGGCTCCACTTTTTGAGCTCCCGTTCCTCGGCAGCGCTCCGGCGCAGTTTTTGTTCCGGGGCGGGCAGTCCACTGAGGGCGGCGTCCGGAGAAGTTTGTCATCCGTAGACGGAATATCGAGAACTGTGCGTCATCCGGTTTTATGCTTTCTTTATGTCCAGTGAACCCTTGCTGATTAAACTAACGTCCGGCTCCCATTACCGCACTCGTGATTGGAGAATGTAATGAGTAACGTCGCTGATAAAAAATGAACTCGATTGCACGCGGTAACTCCTAGAAATATTATGTTAGATAAAGTATTTAAGAAATAACAATGTGTAAGACAATCATTGTTAGTTGTATAAAGCCAGCGCTTAACTTCCTTATAGCTCTTTACTAAAAAAAAAAACTCGCTCATTCAGCCCTTTGCCCGTCCTATTCACCCCCACACCATTACCGTCACCCTGAAAAGACGGTTCGTTTGTTTGACGCAGCGAAACGCTTCTGTTCGCCACAATACGCGTCATGGCAAGTGGGTCACGTTTATGGGTCCATTGTTGATACAGAGCGCCGCTGGTGGTGAATGCTGAACCTGGTGAACAGCGCGCGCCTACTTGGTATGGAGACGGGTGTTTGAGACTGCAGCTGCAAAAACTGAATTTGTGTTTGCTTAGTCGTGATGCACGTTTCGTGTCATGCTTCTAAACTATGACGGATAGCAGCCCACTGGGCACTGCAGAGGTGGGTCGGTTATGACAGTGGCTGTGGCTGGATGGCAGATGCAAGCCGCAGGGATATCTGGGTTAACCTAGGATGACACTCCCCGTGGGTCGTAATGGTGTCGCCATTGGCTGTGTGTCTTTTCTGCATTGAGCACCGGTCCCAAGCCCATGTGTAACTCTGTATGAGCAGACTGCAGAGCGAGCCTGTCTGGGACACTGAGCTGCACTGAGAGGGATGATCTTAGCGCAGTTTATCTGGCTCATTCCGATGGGGAGCCGAGGACCGCAGTGACACGAGCTACGGAGGGATGCAATAAGTGATGGCCCAACTTAGCGAAGAAAAGCAACAGGCGTCAGCACCCTGCTCACAACTCTGTGCCAGGTGAAGGGGCATACGGGGAGCCGGTCGCTTATCGCACCACGCCAAAGGTCTTACGGTCGCCGAGGTTTGACATACGATTGTAAGCGATTTTGAAAGACGACTGACGGAGGCTCAATTATCCATACCGTCTAGCCAGAGTGATCCATTTAAAATCCCGTCTTCCATTCACTAGGCCTGTCATTTATCTGTCGCAGGAGCCGTCATCTGTTCGGCGTCATCTCCTCGGAATGACATTTTCCAGCGTCTATCTGACGCGATCAGCGCATACCGTATATGACAATTTGACATATAATACAGAGATCAGTGTTGAGTAATATCACTTTCTGTCACTATTGTTCAAACGGACCAGCAACGATCCTCGGCAACTTTTCATGCTTGCCGAACGCAGGGCGAGGCAGATTATAATAAAATAGGCCTGGATACCGGGATCTGGCCTCTCGCTCAATCCCTGCCCCAGTTTGGTTTACGGAACCATACGAGTCTCGGAACAGAATGCAGTGCCAATCATGGTGAGAAGTCTGGCGCGCTAAGACGCCTCTCGTGTGTGGGGGTGTATTTCACGAACTCGTCCGAGCCGGTTCTTATAAACCCTTTCACGGCACGAGCTGAGAGGTAGAGTGGCCTTCTCCGGTCACGAGAGGCGTTTTGTCATGTCCATAAAAAGCTAAACTCAACAGGTTTAGTTATATTTCATGTTTTATGTATTTTATTTTGTGATATACTTGGTGGTCAAGAATTTGAGTTTGACGGTTCTCTCTGAAAAAGTTTAAGTAAATATGCTGCATTTCTATTCTTTCTTTATGGTGCCATTTATTATGAGGGATATAATCAAAAACATATTTAAATTTGTGGCAGGTTCGGAAGCTTCTCCGTCCACGGGACTGCTTGTGATGGCTAATGTTTGACTGACGTCACGTCCCACAGTCTGTGCGCCTGGCTCTGGTATACCTAGGGTGTTCGCAAAAATATGTCATGATTTCGTTACGCCATTATCGCCAGCTCAAATAAAGCAAGGATCAAATGTCTTGCTGAAATGTGTTGCCCGGATCTTCAAGTTTTGTTATACACATGTATCAGTGCCTCATGTCAAACCGGGCGCACTCCACACGCTGTTTTCAATATGAACCCCTTTTCGGCGGATGCACGTATCACCTAGAGATTACACATAAGGGTTCATTCGCACGCACGTGTTATAAGTGAACACGGACGGCCTTTGCAATCACTATCATCAGCCGAGAAAGATTCTTGGCTGTCTTCCTGTAGTCCTTGGACTTCAGATATCCCACAGGTAACGGCCGATGGGGCTGACACCAAGTGAATGGGTCGACCAAGGGGTAAGGGTCCTCCTGCTCAAGAAACGGGCCCTAGCATTTCGTTTAGGCACCGGAGTGCAATTTTCGAAGTGTGGACTTGAACCCATCCTACCCGTGCGCATGTCTGCAGCGTTTTGACCATTGTCTTGCCCCGAGTTGCCTCACATTTCTCGCTTAAACTTCTAGAGCACTCCCACGCAGCAGTTTTCAGCGGCAATGTTGGTGTTTCAATTTGAAGTCTTAAGAAGAAGGCCTCGCGGCACCATGAGCGTCTATCGCAAATCAAGCAATGACCTTCGGACTGTGGAGCTGGTGTTCTTACCTAGCCTTTGAGGGTGGCATATCTACCCAAACCGTTTGTTCTGGCCGTCGGCGCCTCCATGAAGGTGGATGTGTGCTTCACTGGTTGACCGGGCGTGGCCGGTGAGCGGTGCTCAGAATTGATTTGGGTTTTTATCCTCGAAGCAAAGTAAATTCTTAGCCCTTTTCTACCCTAAATAGCACCTATTGATTCCTGGCCTTGTAGGGTATAATCCCCATGTCATTATCAATAATATAATGAGACATGTTGGACCGCACCCCGCATCTTGCGCGAGCTCGCAGATGGTCAGGGAAGGCATCTCGTTGACCAAATGGGTGATCTCTTTGTAGTTTAAATGACTATAAATAATTCTTTTTCTCGGACTTTCAAGGGTTCATTCGATTTCTAACGATCACTTTGGTAGTAAGTTGCATGTGCAGTAAAAAAATCGCCTTACAAGGGGTGCAGCGGAGGCATCAAAGCATGCACCGAACTGTTGTAGCACGGAAACTACGGGCATCGAATCCAAGTGCTTTTTGGCGATATTTGTTTTTCGCTCTGTGCAAGGCAAGATTTTTAATATTATAAATTAAAATGCATATGAAAGAAAACTTGAAAATGTCCTCTGTCAAATGGGCATAAATACGTGCACGTGCGTTCAAGCAATTTTTCCTACAAAGCGATTAGAATCATGACATATTTTCGCGAACACCCTGTATTCTATTTTGGGAGCTATATGCATTACCATTTGACTGAAGTCGTCTTCCACAGGTTGTGCTGCTAGCTCTGGTGGGAGTTGTCGTTTCCTAAGTATGACTGAAGTCGTCTTCCACAGGTTGTGCTGCTAGCTCTGGTGGGAGTTGTCGTTTCCTAAGTATGACTGAAGTCGTCTTCCACAGGTTGTGCTGATAGCTCTGGTGGCGGCGGCCGCGGACGCGCTGCCGTTCGGGTTCACAGAGGGAGTGGCTCAGTTCAGGGCCCACCCTGGCTCAGGTAAGACCACCTATCGCAATCCTCCATGTTTGCCGTAACTAACTCGAAACAAACCTGCCAACTATGTAACGTACTGATATAACCCCAGACGAGGCAGCATTGCAGCATAATTCCTTCCAAATCCCAGATTTAGACGAGCGAAAACGGCCAACCTACCTCAAATATACGGTCAAGGTGAACGAGGGATATTCGCATCCGTTCATACTTACCGCTCAATGTGGCACAATATCTGACGACATGAACTGCTTTTTTAGTTGCTTTTTTCTTTCGCGTCAAGCTCAGCGATCACATCTCGAAACAGTAAAGCAGCCGAACAATCAATGCAATCAAAACAATCAAACTTCCATTTTCATCATGGCTAAATAAGTACAGGGTGTCCGGATAGTTCTGGCGCTTTTCAACATTTTCTAAAACAAATGTCATTGGTTCATAGATACTAATCAATGGATCAAAACAATGACCAGGGACACCAAGCCACATGCTTCCGCTACGTGCTCATTCAATGTAACCACCGTCGGCGCCGACGACGGCCTCGACGTAGGGGAGGAAGCGTCTGCGGGTTTTGACGATGCGGGGCATTTCCAAGTCCTCCCATGCTGTCATGATGCGAGTCTTCAGCGACTCCAGGTTGGGGTGAGAAATGGCCTAGATCCTGTTCTACAAAACGCGTAGCACGCCTTAGTCGAGCGGGTCAGGTTAGGAGAATAAGGCGGCCTAATCTCATTTCGCCACGGTGATCTGGCCCGGCAAGCTCCTCTGTCAGTTTAGCTTGAATGGCGGCGGCGTTGTTGGAGGGTGCTCTGTGCTGTTGAAATGCGAAGTGACCCTTAGGGCATGTCGTCTTGACCCTCGGGTTGATGTGGCTGTCCAGGAACCCCTCGTGGGCCAGCCTGTTATTCATTTATTCGACATTGACGAAGATGATGGGACATTTTTGTCCATCAGACCCCCGCACTTTCTTCGATTGCCGCGTTGAAATGCTGCTCCGTTCCCATATCGCGTTCGAAACGGTCTGAGGATATTTTTTAAGGAATTCCCGAGTCGAAATAAACCTTTACCTGCTAAACCATTCATCAAAAAACGCCGCATCGCGCTGCAACTCGCGCCTCGTTCAAGTCGCACCCGGCCGCCGCGCGCAGGCATTCAGCGACAAGGCGCATCTTCGCCCATCTACCCATCACTGAAAACGATTTCAAGGTCATATTTACACGACCCCTGGCTGAGCAATCAACGAGGGGTCATGTCTGTGATGATTGGCTGAATGTCCAATAATCACAGCGCGCGTTACACGGCGTCCAAAAGAAGCGCCAGGACTTTCCGGACACCCTGTATAACAAAATTCATTTTTTCCTATCTACGTTTATCTTGCATCACGAACCAGTTTCGCAAGTCCGTTCGGGGACAGAATTAACATGAGACCGTTTCGACGTCGGAATGACTGGACACAGTTCCATAAGGAGCTGGGTTGGCTCCACGGTGACTGCGACACACCTTTCACGCTGGTCACTTTATTCACGGCGGTATTAATGGCCTACCACATTAGGGCTACCGTAATCGGCGGGCAGAATTTCATACAGCTGGGAAATGACAGGGTGAACCTTCCATACCATATTCCACGCCAAATGCATTGTCGCAAGGTTTAGTTTAAACGGGAGGTGACCTTGACGTGAACAATGAAGAAAAGTGATAAAAAAGTATTCCAACGAGCGTCTTTTCGACGAACAGCTGGTCAGAATTGATTTTGCTTCTTTTAGTGAATTCAAGTTTAATTTACTCTGACGTAAAATGTAAAGCTCAACGGCTATCGCGTAGCCTTCATTGTCAGTGAAAAGCATTTAGCCGTGTCGGCTACTTCGATCGGCAGAAGCTCGATAAGTGCGTACTTCACGGCCAAGTGTACCTAACCCTTTACCCCTTTATATGCCTGCAGTCCGCTCTGGTTACGGTCCTCCCAGTGCGCCGTCTGGCCCCCACGGCGGTAACAGTGCAGAGGTGGAGCGCTGGCTGCGGCTGCTCGGCCCCCTCAGCACGGCGCCCTCCAACTACGTCCAGGACCGCGAGGGACCCTCCATCTACGACGACTTCTACCCCAGCGTCAGCCCGCAGGTGAGACTGCTGAAGAGAGCGTCAACCCGCCGCTGAAGCCCACTGCCTCTCCCGGGCGGCAATGTTTTATGGAAACGCACTGAGTGCTCAGTAGTCAGTGCCTACCTACCCATCGCTAAACGTCCACGACATCACCCACAATCCATATTGCCGCTCGTACAATCCCTTGAATACTGATTGATAGGTAAGCCGTACCACAGCCGGCCTGACTCATGGCCCTCCCGGATGACACAGATTCCCACCGCTCGCCGATTCAAGTTGGGTAAATTCCTGATGCTTATCGAAATGCGATCTGCATTAGTGTCACCGCGGTGAGCCGTGCTCGACCGACCTTGCCCGCATTTCTCCCCGTCGTGCCGTGCCGCTCTCCTTCTATGAGAGCATTTCGCCTGAAGTAGGGATTGCTATCTGTCGTGAGTGTCTGCCTGTCTGAACACCTGTCTGAATGCCCGCTAACTGTAAGCAACGGGAGCTCGCTGTCCGTTTTAACTCCTGTCTTATTTTTCTGTCTGTCGTGTAAATTCCCATGGTTGGAGTGTCCACCGTCTTTTCTGTCTGAGTGCCTATGATCAAAGTATCGTGTGGCCTGAGTGCCAATCACTCCCGTGTGAGTGCCCATCACCCCCATGTGAGTGCCAGTCGTAACTCTCAGTCGCCGTCTGGCTCGTCACCGGTCACCACATGCTCTCCTTGAGCCCCGCTCACCCCTCCTGCGGAGCGTTCTTTCCCGTCTCCACAGCGGGGTGGGGTACAGGGATGGGACGCGGGTGCATTACTGGAGCTCGGTCACGACTCACGACACCGAGGGAGGGAAGCCGGTGAGAGTGAGGCAGTCTGACGGGTTAGAGGGAGGAGAGAGGAAAGGGATGCCAGCACGGTGCAGTGCTGTCAGACATCAGACATTGCGAAGGGTGAACCATGCGTTGACCATTGCTGTGCAGTGTGCCGGTTGGTTCGTAATGGTTGTGTCGTTGTTTGTCCTCTTCGTTTGTTGGGGTACGTGAGCGGTTTATTATCTATTATGCTATCAATACCTTAATCAGTCAACCATCATCAATATTCAATACAATTAATACCAAAATCGTTAATCCATTTTTATCAGATTTCTGACCTCATTCATTCCAAGGTTTTGCTGACAACTTTACGCTCATCGGCTGTCATGTCATTTCGTCACCATTGCGTTCAGCTGTCATTCAGCCTGTCATCTCGATTTTCATTTGTCAGTTGGAGCGTCACCTCTGCATTCCCGTGTCCATCACCGGTCGGTCAAACTCATACCTCCCGACAATAATAGTGCATCAGTTTGGCAGGCTTTCTCAGTTCAATGTCTACTGATGTCTTCAAGCACGATGATCACAGATGAAGGACATTGCTTGGGACGGTGTTATCGTAACAAAAACGCATCAAAGGCGGATTGCGTGTGTGTGTGTGTGGGGGGGGGATGAGCATTGTCCCGTCTGTCCCGTCTAATGTCCAGTGCTGTATCTGACACCCCCGGTACTGCACCACCCAAGTGCCATTGCTGACGCCCCACGCTTCCCCCAGGCGGCCGCCTCGTCTCGCACCCTGTGGTTCGAGGAGTTCCCGCACCGGCGGGCGGTTCTCAACTGGCAGGAGAAGCGCATCCAGCAGGGCCTGCCCGTCTACAAACTGCTCTCGCAGCGGCCCGGCTTCCCGTTCTATCAGGGCAACTGAGCGAGCTAGCGACCCAACGGCGACACACAGTGACCTAAGTGCTGTGAGAGCCTGACGGCCGGCGCAGAACTGAGGAAAAGTGAAAATCGCGATCTCCCAACTGCGAGAACGGCACCCATTACGAACATTCACGTCTTCCAGGGACGCAAGGTGTTTTTATGGGCGGGCTTCGTGTCGCTCAGTCTTCCCTGCAGGATTTCAGAGAGGAGGGCTAAAACGGAAGCAGCGGGTGCCATACGTTCGCAGAAGGGAGTGATGGGCGCGTCGGAAATTCGTTGGTGCGCGTCAGAGGGCGATCGAAGTTGGTCGAGGAGTCGCGTAGTGTGTTTGTGAAGGGATAAGGCGCCGGCGTCCCGGTGTGAGCTTTAAGTCGGATGAATGTAGAGCGAGCCGGTGACGACGAATGACGATGTTGATGTTGAAGGTTGCGCCGGAGTCGACTGGCGTAGAGCCAGGCTCGTTGACAATACAGTGGTGAATTTTGTAGGTGCTTGGTTTTATACCTGTTGTCTCAGGAGCAGTAGTGTTATTCGAATGACTGCTGGAGGGAAGCTCGCTTCAACTTTAGACTTATCTGTCATCACACTCGACAAATAACCGTGGATCTGTCCGTTCGTAAAGACGACAAAGATAGGCCGTTAACAAAGTCTTACCACAGATGAGAATCGAATTAGACAATACAAAAACAAGCCATGAAAGGCACAGAGTACACTTTTATTCACTAAGTACCTTGGAAAGACAATCCTGGATAGACAATCCTGATAGTATGGACCCATTCCAAACCACTGGTATTTGATAAACAAGGACAAGTGTACAATCCGAACCGTAGCAAACGCTTTGAAGCTGTGCAAAAATCGAATGAAATTCCCTTCCCGACATTATAACACCCGAGTCTGCGCCTACTAAGAAGTGCGGCACCATGTTTTCCAGTCCGTTGATCCATCAGGAAGTCTCGCTTGTTTCTCCTATAAAACCTGGGGTCACCTGGAGCCGGTTTAAACCACAGGAACACAGAGGAAAGCCAGATTGTCCTGGGAACCTCCCCCACAACTCGGGAGACCAACCACCAAGGGGTGGTGACCCGAGCCTTGCACGGCGCATCTCTGAAGTCTGCAGTTTGCACTAGTTCTCACGGAGATGAGCTGTCGACGCGAACAGACAAAGCGATAAACGAAAAAGGCAGCATATTTACCCACGCGACGAACCGGTGGGCCAGCAATGAGCAAAGCTTGCAATTGCGTCACCGGAAAATTGAGCACTATAATCGGAAGCCTGAGGCCTGAGCTTTCCTCCCACGTTAGTTGGTGCAGCGTACCGCATTCTGGATTTGCAGTCGCGAGGGGTGCTGTTTTTTTTTTCTGAAGATGCTGAGACTCGACACCGAACAGCGTTACCTGGCGTTATCTAAAACAGACTGCCACCGATAGCTCTGCTCCTTCTAAATCCCAACACTGGGTCGCCATCCACATATGTCATTTTCAGTACAGTAAGAGACACCCTCAAAAGAAAACAACCAGGGCAGTTTGTATCATCAACATGCATTACTCAGCAGTCCTGTATAATAATTATCTGAATAGATACATGACCATAAACACAATTAACACACACATTCAGACTCGCGATGGATGAGATCCGACGACTTGCCAGTCAAGTTCGCACATAAGGCTCTGCTAGATCGTCCAAAAAACGCCCCCCCCCCCCACACCCACACACCCCACCATCACACTCAGCTGAATTTTTTTCTGAATACTCATCACACACCACAGTCGAGGCCACGCGTTCAGAAAAAATAGTTTGCGATGAAAAAAGACCGGGGTGTAAACTAACACAGCCATTACATCACACAGGCCGGGCCGGCCGTTGAGCTCCGTTACCGTCTGAGCTACACCGCGCAGACCGGTAATACGCTAGCCTCTGACTTTGCTGCACCCAGCCCTCTCAGAGGTAAACTATCATGGGAACCCGCTCACTTGCTGATCGTCTCGGTGACAGCGGTCTCGGACGGCGCGTCTGTCCTGGCCCCACCTGCCGCCTGCTGCGGAGGACCAGTCGCCGGGTCGGCCACCTCCAGGGGCGGCTCTGACACCGGGTCGGCGCGAGCAGAGTTCAGCAGCACCTCCCCCAGACCGGGCGAGGAGTGGAACTGGGCCGACTTGATGCCGTCCAGCAGAAACTCGGCCTCCTCCTGCAGAGCCTCCGCCTTCTCCAACAACAGCATCTGACACCAAAACATCGACTTCGTCACCAAAATGCCCATATTAGCACCGAGATACACACATCTTCACCAAAAGATCTACATCAAAATCAAAATGATATCAGCTCCGGAACAATATTGGTCAACTGCGACAAAACGCAGACTGGCAAGCATCATAGCAAGATGAATGACATATTTGCATCTGCCTGTATGGCATGGGTATTTCTTCTTATGCGAGATAAAATTGCTATGTCATTTGTTAATTGCTTTATCATTAAATGGCAAACTTGATTCTAACCCAATCAAACTGATACATACATCTGTAGTTATTTCTTTTACTTTTTTACGGGTATAAATGTTGAAACACGACACCCAAAAACCGTACTATTATGAAACATCATCCATGTTCGATGATAAAATCTACGGCGACCACGGACCACCAGCTGGGTTTTGGCCCCAGACGCCAATCAGATATTATCCATTCAGTCGTGGTCGCAATGACAGAGTTGCTGCAACTCCACGGTATCAATGGACCACCGCTAAAAACGACTATCAACAAGTGATTCTCATGGAAGCCCCGGAAAAACGCCACATCCGGGGGTAGTGTTTCTGTCAATAATAAAACAATCGGTGTACGATCGGCCCCTTCAAGTCCTCGACATTGCTGACATATTCCACGGAGAAGAAGTGATATATGTGCTGATTGTTGTCGCTCACACGGAGATGAACATTGGCGATAAAACGGACGATCGCGATCCTAGAGATCGTTGACGAATCGTGGCTGAGATAACCGCGTGACCAAGGACGGTCCAAGTGAGAGGCAGCTGTGCAGGTTCAATAAACAATGGCCGTCGTGCCGCACAGAAACCAATGATGGGACGATAAAATCTATACGGCCAGCATCTATGTGGAAAGTACAATTTGCAGCGCTCAGCGTGGTTATCAGTAGAATCGTCTGGTTCTGCTCAGTGGAACACGAAAAATAAATAAGATTTGGCATTGTAAAACGGTCAAGGGCGTGCTTTAAAACCCGGTGATTGGCAACGATACAGATCGAAACCACTCGACAAACTTCCTAGTTTCGATTATTAAAGGGCTGATGAACAGGTGTGGCGATTCCAGACCAAGCTTAATTACAATTGCATCCCTGTTAACTTACAACAGCGTCTATTATAAAAGCGTTCACAAACAGCCTGGTGACAAACGGGATCAAAACACGAAAAATACGTCGATACCAAGCGCAGAATATCCTCAATCAACAGACTCTATCCCCGCCAATGATGCAATCTTTCTGTAAATGTGACATATTCACTCCAAAACGACATTCATTGAGTCTCAGCACTCATTGGCAAGTCTCACCTTAGCCGAGTCGACGATCTGACGGGCGACGCGGCGCGGCAGGTGGTCCAGGGTCCTCACCAGGGCCTCGGGGTCGGCGTTGGCCACGTCGGCGAGGGTCCGGTAGCCAGCGGCGTACAGCGCCCTCGCCCGGCCCTGGGGCGCAGAGGAGACACGGGGTAACACCACGGACAACGCCGAGGGACACAGCTGACGAGAGAAATCATGGCTGACGAAAAAATAGACAAGAGAAATAGAAATGGCTGCAAATGAGATTATTATCATCGCCCGTGGTCAGCTGAACAATAACTTGACTTTCAGTCATACATGTATGAGTCATCCATTCATACGTACACTCGGATCGAAACAACTGCCGTATTATTGATTTGTGGACAAAAACATTTGTCGGTTTGATCTAGGAATGCCATAATCCCCTAGCATCGAACACAGGTTTCAGTCGCTTATGTTAACTTCGTGACATTACCGAGAACACTATCAATTCAATCGGTTAATCACAATAACCACCTCACAGCTCACTACCATACGCCGTCCCCGCCGCACCTGTTTCACGGCCGGCAGTTCGAGCAGCTGGGCCAGCTCGGCGGCAGCTCCGGTGGCCAGCTTCCTGTTAAACACATCCAGCAGCTGTACGAACGGCCACAGTTCGTCCAGCTGGCGGCAGAAGTGGAGCACGGCCGCCGAGAAGGCGCCGGTGGACTGCAGCAGCGCCTGTAGCTGACCTCGCTGCAGCTGACAGCGGTGGGCCGCGTCCCAGAGGGAGCCGCCGCGCAGCGCCTCGTACACGACGAGAGTTAGGTAGAAACGGTGCGCCACCGGCATGGAAGATGCCTGAGTGACAGAGAAGTCAGATGTTAGACACGGGGTCAGTGGACAGGGGACAGACAAAACGAAACACGCTGGTCCAGGATTCAGGACCCAAGGGACAGACTGGGAGGTTAGAAGACATGACAAGGAGGGGAGACAAGAGTCCTGGTGTTGGGATTAGAGGTCACGACCCAAGGGAAGGATAGCGGCCAGAGGAGAGGTCACGGACCAAGGGTGTCATTCAGTGGTCATGTGTTTGAGGGAAGCGAGTAAGAAATAATTGAAGAATTAGTGGGAGAGCGGTTCTAAGCTCAGTCTACACCGGTATAATCCAGCTAAAGAAAGTTTCCGGCCTGAGTAAGCGGCCTGTGGTTTTATTGTCTACCGAGAATCGACAATGACAATGACGAGAATGTCCAGTCATGCACTACCAGCGGTCAGAGAAAGGCCGAACGACATTTCTGCGGGGTCGGGAAACCCTGCAGCGGCCAGCCTCCAAAGTCACCCTGGCGTCATGATAATGTCACAATATGGCACGGCTTTCATTTGTCATGACCATATCCTCATCGGTTCATCAGCTGAATGAATAATAGTCTAGACTGGGAGTTCATTTCGAAACATTAAAATTCGATAATCCGGTCCTTCGAATGCTCCTGAAAGTGATTCACTTTAAATCTAATAACGGCGAGGAGGCGAACAAGTGATTGCTGACCCGGAAAGGGCCATCATTCATAAGAGCTGTTGAAGTTTGTTGATGTTTCCATGGAAACCGAAAATGCTCACTTTTTTGCCGGACATCATGCGGACAATCTGCGCCTCCGTGACGCCGATCAGTCTGGCTACGGCCGCCTCCTCCTCGTTCAGAGCAGAGTACTGTAACGCACAGACGGATTACAAATTACAAACAGGCACCGGCGAGGGGTTGGACAGACTGAGATACAGCTTCCTTCGCGTCTAAAGCCGTGTACTGTAACGCACCGATGGAGTACACATTACTCCAGGCACTGACTGAGGGGCTAGAAAGACAATTATATCAACCAGCTAGTAATCGAGTCACAAAAGATTTCTTCGGCGACCACAGTCGTATACTGCAACGCAGAGGCGGGTAGCTCAGAGGGAATGGTATCCA